GTTGGACAGGGCTTGGAGCAGCCTGGGCTGGTGGAAGGTGTCCCTGCCCATGGCAGGGGGTGGGACTGGATCCCTTCCCTCCCAAACCATTCCATGATTTTAAGTGAGCAATAAAGCAAAGCCCGGTTCATGGAGCCAGGACTCCCCTGGGAATGCTCACAGGGCCCCCCAGCTCCCTTGCAGTGCCAGTGCAGTTGCCCAGCCAGGGAAGGGTTACTGCCCATCCTCCCAGTGCTGGCTGGAAGCAGGAATTGCTGGAACAGGTTAGGATAATGTTCATTTGTCTTCATTAGGCGCAGGAAACCTGGGAAGGAGCAGTGGTGTGGCCCAACAAGGGGCCCTTTACAAGGATCATTGTGCCTTTCTTCCAGGTAATGGAGACAAATGGGAGGTGCTGGAGCTGTGTGAGCCACCACAGGCACAGGCTCTGCCCCAGCAGCAGGGAGGGAACGCTTGGAAGGGGCTGCTTCCACAACAGGGTTTATTGACAGCAAACACAGCAGGAGGAGAGGGCGTGTCTGGGACCTGGTGGGTGCTGAGCACTGCCCTGGTGTGGAGGTGGCATCGCCCTGCCAGGGTGCCCTGGCCCCGGCTCAGTCCCGGCAGGATCAGGACAAGGTTTCCGTTCCTCGGTCCCCAGCAGGACAAGGGTGTTGTTTCTGTTCCTTGGTGCCCAGCAGGACGAGGGCAAGGTTTCTCCTCCCTCCCTGGGTGCTCCCAGCCTCTCCTGGGCGTGCTGTGCCCCCCAGCAGCTGTTTGCTCACACCACTGGGCCACGACGACCCCACCAACAGTGGCCAGCCCGGCACACAAAGAGCCATTGTTGTTCCACGGCGCCGGCTTTGAACCCTCACAGAATCCTCCACAGGGGGAGGCAGGGCTGTAACACCCCCCTCCTGCCAGCCACCCCTGTCCCCAACCTCTGCTGGGGACACGGCACGGTTTGGAGGCTGGCAGGGATCACACCTGGCCACAGCTCTGCCCCGTGGCTGGTGATGGAGAGCCTGGTAGAGCTCAGGGGGAGCAGAGGGGTTTATTGGGGTGGGCTGGGGGTGTGGTGGGATGACAGACCCTGTGGGGCTGCCCCAGCACCCTCACAGCATGGGTGGCATCTGGGCACAGTGCCATGGGGGTCCTGGCCTTGGCTCTGGCTCACCCCAGGCCCACCCAGCACCGGCACCGGAATCACCGGACTCTGCTCATCTTCTGTTCTACAGGTTCCTCCCCAGCTGCCCTCCTCAAACCTGTGGTTAACACTAAATACATCCCTGTGTCCATCAGGCTGGTGGAGGATGCACCAAGGAGGTTCCTTGGCTGTGGGGAGAGCTGGAAATGGGGCCACACACGGCTGCAGGTCCAACAGGCTGGACACGGTCCAGCAGGATGCCAAGTGTCCGTCCCTGGGGATGAGTGAGGGATACCCCACTCTGGCCAAGCATTGAGGATGCTCCAAGGGGGATCTCACGGCCTCTGGGGCTGCCATGCTGGGGGGGTTTCCCCAGTGTGGAGGTCTCCAAAGGGAACTACCCTGCGTGGCCCTGATGTTACCTGAGCTGCTGGCAGGAGAATGTCATAGAGTCATGGAATCCTGGAATGGTTTGGGTGGGAAGGGACCTTAAAGTCACCTCACTCCACCCCCTGACATGGGCAGGAACACCTCCCAGTGTCCCAGGTTGCTCCAAGCCCTGTCCAACCTGGCCCTGGACACATCCAAGCACAGAGCACCCACCACCCCCCTGCCCGACCTCCCCAGTGCCTCAGTCCTGCCCTGGCATTCCTGACCTGCAGGGTGAGGGAAGGGCAGGGGGGTTCGGTGCTGTTGGACGGGAGGAAGCCCAGGGCTGGCATCTCTGCTTGGTGATGGAAGCCTTCCCGTGCCCACAGTCCCTCCCAGGGCCGCTGAGCTGTCAGACCCGGCGTGTGGAGGCTCAGCCGCAGCCCGGGAACGTCACAAACCGCCGGCCAAGGGGAACGGCCGGGCCATTAATGTTGATTTTCAATCAGCCTTTGAAGAGCTGGGTGGGTCCAGAGGGCTGGGGAAAGCTGCTGTTGTGGCGGTGCTTTAAAGGGCAAACAAGCCGCCCCAGGTAATTACGGGGCTGTCAGGCTGCCATCGATCCCGGGAATAATGGAGCAGCTGATAGGGACTCAATTAATAGAGAGCCGGAGCAGGACGGTGCAATTAATGCCAATCAGGGGGGATTTATGGGCAGCAGCCCTTGTCAGGCTCTTGTGGCATCCCCTTATGGTGATTATGGTCACTGGGTGAATAATCATAAATGTCCCAGCCGGGGGTTTCGTACCGTCCCCAGTGACCGTGTGATGGGAACCCCAAAAATGCCAAGGCACGGAGCACATGGAGGGTGGCTGGGGGGCCTGGGAACCACGGGGTGTGCCCACCTGGAGGAAGGACAGACATCATTCCCTGGGGGTTTCCTGGAGAGTGAAGAGGTGGACAATCCACTCACACCATTTTAACCCAGCCAAAAGCGGAGCTCCTGATGTGGGAACAGGGAAGAAGGACCTCCTGACATGGGAACAGGGAAAAAGGACCTCCTGACCTGCAGGAGGGACCTCCTGCCATGGAAGAGAGATTTCCTGACCTGGAGGAGGGATGACTGTGGGTCCAACCACGCTGGATCAGGTTGAGCTGCCTCAAAAGCACATCAAGAGCCACCTAAAACCCCTTTGTCTGACCTTGGAGGGAACGTGGTGCTTTTGGGTTATTTAAGTTTTGGTGTAACCCTTAAAGGCTCAGACAGCTTTAAATTTTAAAAATTGGAAAAAAAAAATAAATAATCCCACTGTTTGTAAAAGGAAAAGCTAAATTCCCTTTTGGAAATTCCAAGAACAAAACATTTTAGTGCCTTCAGGAGGAGAATCCCTATTTGGGTTTTTATTTTTGGGCAAAAGCTCTCAGCAGGTTTTCTGCTGAATCCTTGGGGTTGCTGGTGCTCTTCCCATCCCAGACCTGTGGACATGGCCAGGAGGCTCCTGGCCCGTGGGGATCTTGGAAACATGGATTTGGGGTCACTGGGAGCAGACACATGGGGATCTTGGAAATGTGGATTTGAGGGTCTTTGGGTACAGGTTGGGATCTTGGAAATGTGGATTGGGGGTCACTGGGTGCAGGCACACGGGAAACTTGCAACTGTGGATTTGGAGGGTGTTTGGGGGTGGGGACATGCAGGGACAGGAACCAGGTCTTTCCAGCTCGAGCTGCTCTGCCAAATCCCAGACCACGTGTCCTCCCAAAACTGGTCTGTTTATGGGGTCTTGGTGGCAGATGTGCTCCTGGACACCCCTGGATATTCCTGTTCCTCCTGGCTGGCACTGGGAATGCTGCTGCACCCAGCTCCCAGCAGGCACTTCTGGGGAGAACCTTTAATTTCAAATATTAGGCAGGTTATAAAAATGTCACCGATGATTTGCTCGTGTTTTCTAAATGCCGTTAAAAATTTATAGTCAGGACAAAATGTAAAAAGGGGGAAGGGAAAAAAACACCCACCCGGCGTGTTTTCAGCTGAGCCTCTCCATAAATTATCGGGATTTGCTTCCCAGGGTGGTCTGCACAGTGTGTGCCAGAACTGCCTGTGCTCCAAGAGGGAGGATCACGAGGTTAAGTGTTAGGAAAGGGGGGGAGGGAGAGCAACTTATTTAGGAAAGTGCTGGCTAAAGCAGGGAGAGGTCCCTGCCTGTGCCAGGGGGTCTGGGCAGTTCCAGGGGCCGGGAGCTGCTCCAGGCTGGGATGTGGTTAATCCCTGCTGTCCTCCCTTAGCCTGCAAAGCTCTGCTCCTGCTTTGAGGAATTTCTGAGCCGCTTGTGGGGATTATGGGAAGTCAGGCAGTGGGGTGGAGCTGCAGAGCAGCACCGGGGCTGTGACCCAGGGGATGGGCCCTTGGGGGCAGCACAGAGGGGGGTCATGGAGTCCTGGGATGGGTTGGGTTGGAAGGGACCTTAATGCCCATCCCATCCCACCCTCTGCCACGGGCAGGGACACCTCCCACCATCCCAGGTTGCTCCAAGCCCCATCCAGCCTGGCCTTGGACACTTCCAGGGATCCAGGGGCAGCCACAGCTTCTCTGGGCAACCTGTGCCAGGGGCTCCCAGGGAAGAATTCCTTCCCAATATCCCATCTAACCCTGTCCTCTGGCAGTGGGAAGCCATTCCCCCCTGTCCTGTCCCTCCAGGCTCTCTCCAGCTCTCCTGGAGCCCCTTCAAGCCCTGGAAGGGGCTCTGAGCTCTCCCCAGAGTTTATCTTGGGAGGCAGCTGGGCTGGGTGGGAGCCCAGCACGGGGGACCTGCGAGGGAGCAGGGACTTTCCCTTCCCAGATATTGTTCCCACAAATGTTTGGAGCTCTTGGATCCTGCACGGAGCAAAGCCGTGGGTGGGATTGAGCCACCCCAGCCAGGGCTTTGCTGCCTTTGGACCCCCAGCACTGCCCTGTCCCCCAGGGCTGTGTTTTCCTGGGGCAGCACCACAGCCCCCCAGCCCCTGTGTCCCCCCAGCCCCCTGTGGGATGGCCACCAGCCATGGCACGAGCCACCCCTGAGCTGTGACACTGCAGCTCAACCTCCCTGGCTTCCATCTTTATCCCTCCAGGGAACTGCATTTCCAGAAACACGCTGACTTTCACTCTTTTGCCTCCTGCAGAAGAACCAACCGAGGGCAGCTGGTGCTTCCTGCTGTGTCCAGGAGCACTGGGCCAGAGGGCTGTGCCAAGCCGTGCCATGCCATGCCATGCAGGGGCTCCCAAACCTGCTCTTGGAGCATCCAAGGGACACCGTGACATTGGCACAGTCCTGGTGACCTCGTGACAAGGGTTAGCTCATCCCTGCTTTGCTGTTTTGCACCTTTCCATTGATTTCCATTAATTTCTAGTCCTGAGCCACCAGAGAAGTGTTGTGGTAGGAACTGAGCAGCTCGTGGAAGATGTCCCAGCCCACTGCCTTCCCCTCACCCCTCTTGGCCGGAGGGATGAGGGACTAAAGCTGTTGTTTCACACAAATAAGTGGTTGAGCAAAGGAGAGAGACCCAGTGCTGGGTGTGGGACCATGATCCCACCAGGAGCAGCTGCCTGTGCCCATGTCCAGCCCCCTCAGCCCCTCGTGGCACCCCAGACCAAGTGACCCCCTGCCAAGAGGATCTGGAGCAGCAGGGATGTGTCCCCCCAATCTAGGATCACAGTAATGAGCATTCCCAAACACATCATCTCTGTGGGCTCACTACCCCCTCCATTCCCAATCCCAAGGGATAATATATTTATCTGCTGGGAAGGTATAAGGCCACAAGTCCAAAGCTACAAATCCTCACAAGTGAGTATTAATGGATTATGCCTCTGCAATCCATTGCATGTTGTGGTTATACAACAAAAATTGGGATAATAAAACAGCTCTTAGTGTCAAAATGTAATTAAACTGCTTCAGCAGCCTCGAGAGCAGCCCAGCTGCCATAAAGCACTTCCAGCTGCTGGGGCATTCACTTGGATGCCTGGAGAAGAGCTCCTGGACTCCCAGGGAGGTGGAGCTCTCCCAAAAATACTCCCCCCTGAGCTGCCTGCGTGTGATCACATGTCCCTGTTCCCACTGGGAATGCTCTTCCCCTGTCCTGCCCGCAGCAGCGCTCCCGTGGTGCCGTGGGGAAGGTGTTGGGTGACCCAGACCTGGCAGCAGAGTCTGCTTTAGTCCTTCTGGGGCTTAAGTGAGCCGTTAATTAATCTCCCAGCAGGTGCTGTCAAACCACACCAGGAAATCCCAATTATCCATCAGTCACAGCCTGTTCTCCTCAGCCTCCCTCGGCGTTCCCGGTGTGCCCAGGGCCAGGGAGCAGCTCCTGGGGTGGCACAAGGTGCTGCCCACGCTGCCACACCCCCCCAGGGTCTCCAATGTCCCTGTCCCCCAGCCCACCTCACACTCCCCAGCTTTAAGGAGGTTTGTGTTTGTCCACAAGGACATGGAGCTGCTGCAGCAAGTCCAGAGGAAGCCCTGGAGCTGCTCCCAGGGTTGGAGCCCCTCTGGAGCCAGGCTGGGAGAGCTGGGGGGGTTCACCTGGAGAGGAGAAGGATCCAGGGAGAGCTGAGAGCCCCTTGCAGTGCCCCCCAAGGGGAAGAAAAGGGGACATGCCACCACCTCTGCCACCAATATCTCAAGTGAGGTGGCCACCGGATGCTCTCCTGGCCCAAAAATGCAGGAAAAGCCTCATTAAAGCATAAAAATCTCAAAACTCTCCCTAAAGCACCTCCAGCCCCAGCAGTGCTTTGATCAGGTTTGTGTCTTTTCTGACGAACAAAAACTGCTCAGCCCCTGGGACAAACCAGGACCCCTCCTGGAAATCCGGGGCCCCCGGGCTGTGTCCAAGGGGTTCAGCTCCACAGGTTCCCACGGGATCCTGCCCAAAACACGGCGCTGGGGTTTGATTTCCGGGGCAGAGGCCAAGCTGGGGGGAATTTTTCGAGGCAGCCCTGCCCCTGGTGTCCCTTGGCTTCCACGGGGACAACAAGGCTCCTGTGTGCTCCCGCTTTTCCTTTTCGGCTGGAGCTGGCTCGGGAGGGGAGTGTTGTGGGAGCGTGTTGTGTAAAAGCCTTGGCTCCATCTGTGCGCTGTCAGTAAATGGCTGAGCTAAATAACATGTTGTTATGAAAAGCAGTGTTTGAGCCGTTCAAACCTTGCCTTTTTTTTCTCTTCTTTTTATTTCCCCCTCTCTTTTTTTTCTTTCTTTTTTTTTTTTTCCCCCAAGGTAAATTCCAGCGGGATCAACACTAGGCAGGAATTACCCC